CTAAAATCCTAATATTTTGCTTGTATCTCTTTTGCTCTCACACTTACTTGATCATCTGAATGCCTTGCAAATACAACCCCTTTTTCTCCCTCGACTTTTCAGCCCGTTTGAAAATCATTATCCGACCACCTTGCAGATTCTAATCAATTGATAAGATCACATCTAATTGTTGGATATTCATTCACATTTTTTAAATATTGTATCGTTATCTAAACGTCCAAAAATCATTTTGATCCTTCTTCTCTTTAAACAATCTTACAAGAGATTTGAAGTTTTTACTGAATCTCTCAAGAACTTCAAATTTTGTGCCGCCTAAAAAGGATTATTTTCACCGGGACATATATAAAATAGGTCAGAGGATACCTCTTGAGGTTGATGTGCCAATTTGTGAAGCGTTCTTCCCACACTATTGGATTCGGTCACACTTCGAGAATCCTAAGGCATAATTTGTGTCCTAATGAGGCTGGCTCGAACGACCTCGAGAAGACGTGTGTATTGAAGATTCAATAATTTGTTTGTGTTTTTTACAAAGCCACTTATGTTGAGAGGAAAACAAAGGAGGTCAAGATAAAGCATCACAAACAGATTGATTTGTAGGTCTAATCATATCGAAAAATCTAATTTTGAGTTCGGATGCATGCATATTCCATTATCACAAAACCAGTGATTGTAGACATTCAACATCAAGAATTGATTATTTCTCTAAATAATCGGTTGTTTCCAACAATGATCACCTATAACTGTAGTAGGTAGGGACACTTAAAATCCAAGAGAGGAAACTTTCATTTAATTCCTTACAAGTGTTTGATTTTCCGTTAACAAAAATTAATTTTAAGTGAGTCAATTATAATTAAAAATGAATTGAATATAAAATAGTTTATAAATAAACGTGTTTCAAGTAAGAATAAATTCTAAAAATAAAATCAATTTAATTCAAGAACAACACATAGAACATAGTCAAACAAATTATTCGTGTATTCTCTTTCTATTTATTTAGTGTAAATAAATAAATTGTATAACATTTTAAACAGAATGTTTGTTTCATAAGGAGCTGTTTTTTGAAATAGAATCCCGTGGTCATTGTGTTGCAGAATTCACAGTCGGGTTATTAATAGTCGTTTGATTGAAATCTAACGGTCTTATAAAATACATATTTAATATTAATATTTTAATTTAAAATACTAAACTTAAATATTAACCATTCAATTTTGATCAACCAGCAATGATTGTTCCGAATGCGTGTTTGAGTGACTCTAGGGAAATGCGGTCCCTGTTTTTTTAGTTGTACTATTTCTTGCTTAGTTTCAATGCAGAAGTTGTGTATCTATCTATCTATCTTTTAATATTTAATCGATAAATATTTAGTTATTTACACACAAAAAGAGGATGCGTATTTTTTCGATGCTTATGCGCTACGACTAGATAACTTGACTAGAACAAGCCTTACTGTACAACAAAAACAATGGCATTGCCAATTCAGGATATGTTTCAACCACGGCCCTCGAATCCATTATGCAGAGTCAGACCTTCTGTATCTATGGTCACACAGCAAGAGACAGGATTCTGAATGAGGATTTTGGATATCAAGATCCATCCCCTACAACAAATATACACAAACTAGATGGATTTAGTCTTCCACCATAAACCTGAGGAGGTGTTGTTCAAATTATGAACATAAAGTAAACATTTTACCTGTCGCATCTGATTATTGATTGGCACGGACTCGTGGTATGTGTTTGAGATTATAGGCTCCTGAGTAAAATGTTCGTGAGATGTTATGCAAAGTAGCGAATTCTAAATAAAAACAAACTAATGACTGGAAAGATTAACACCTGCGGCAGTTGAGAACCGCAAGGAGAGTTCTGTTGGTTAGAAAAGAAGTTTGGCGGTGGAAACAGGTCAGTATCAGATTGATGGTCCAACACAAGATCAGGCTGTTCATACATACATTGAACCACTTGATTGGCTTCAAAACCGAATAAGTCCTATAACACAGATGAGAAAATCAACAACTTTGTAAATATCGGTGAGTATTAAGCTTTTCATGATTTCTATACTAATCAAATATGAATATAAGATCACAACAATATAACACCATATCAAATAGACGATAAAAGCTTACCTGCAAAAGGGGATTTGGTGTCCCTGATTGAGGTGAAACATATGGAGATGCGGGCCTTGAAATGCAGAGAACAGTATTTGGAGGAGGTTCTACGTTTAAAATCCTATCTGAATTAGTTTGATTATAATTCATCGTTGTTTGCCACCTATCTGGTGTAGCGATCCTGACAATTTCTCCGCTTACTCTGTTATTTTCATCCTGATTCTCAGTTGCATGTTCATTCGGAAAGATCTCTGCAGGCTCACTTTCTGAAGCACCTACATGAATACTATTTGAGGTGATAATAACTTGAGCTTCATCGCCTTTCAATGTCAAGATTTTCTGCACTCCTTCCATCACTTCATCAAGTTGCTTCGCGGCAAATTGATAAGCCTCCGCAGATTCAGAAGCTCTTGCTGATAAATTGACAAGTCTGTGACACAAATCTTTGTAACAGCTTGCTACAACCATCTTAGGGTTATTTTGCATTTTACATTGCTTAAGCGCCCTGCTATTTCCCAATCTTGCATCTTTTGTCCATCTCTTCAAGATATATCGAGATGGAACTACTTTAATGTTTCTATTATCAAGAACTTTCAGTGCATGGCTACATAGAAAACCAACATGCTCAAACTTCATACAACTGCAGACGACTGTATTATCTAAAGAATTGAAGGTGACACTGTATTGTCTTTCATGGCCAAATGTATTCACTTTATACTCAAACAAAGATCCATCTTTGTTGTGTAGGTTGACAAGATCATTCAAAGACTTCTCATATCTTTGCTGAAATACTTCAAATGCTCTTGGAGTATAGGCAACACTTGCATGTTTCAACATAACCACATTACCCATTAGTTTCGGGAAACATCTCTTCATTTCATCACTAGCTTCTATTTCTTTATAGCGTTGCTCGTCTACAACCCTTTCAAAATGGTTAAAAAACTGAACTACATCAAGGTCGGAATTTAGATAATTTCTAAACTTAAGAGACAAAATCTCACCTAAATGAAAGCCTTTGATATCTACAAAAAACGTATTTTGACCAAAGAAAACAGCCCATTTCTCCCTTTCTCTATACATCCATCTCAACCACTCATTTTGATGAAGATTATATTTCTCCAGCATAGCCTCCCAAGCATGAGTAAAATCTTCCTCATTCTTGGGGCCATATATACAACACCTTAGATCATTTGCAAAGGATTTAGCATCTTTAACGAAATGGCTGAGGTGTTTCACAGTGTTCTCATACATCTGCCATACACATGTATACTGCTTTGTTTCAGGTAAAACAGTATTGACTGCTTCGATGATTGCAGCATCTTGTTCTGTGATAATGGCCTTTGGCTTTTTCCCAGACATTGTGCCAATAAAAGTTCGAAATAGCCAATTAAATGATTCGACGGTCTCATCGTACAAAAAAGCAGCAGCAAATATTAATACTTGTTTATGATGATTTACACCTAAAAACTGTACAAGTGGCCGAAGAGCTTTGTTTGTTCTGCAAGTTGTATCCAAACAAAGAACATCCCCAAAATGATCGTAATCTACCACCATATTGTCATCAGCCCAGAATATATTGCTTACTTTATCATCAGCATCAAGCTGTAGGGCATAGAAAAATGTTGGATTTTCAAAGTGTTGTCTTTGAAAATAACCCAGCAAACGCCCCGCTTCTCCTTTACCCATATCTCTTCCCCTTACAGAATGAAGGTAATTGTCATAATTCATGGAAAGTTGATCAAGAGAATCACGTGCACCTAATTTTTTATTCATGATCTTTAACGCTGACCGAGATTTTGGCCCCAAACTATTATACGAGTCAACCTCCACAGTCTGAGCAACATTAATCTCGTTTTGCAAGTCTAGTAACAACATGTTAGCATTGCTAGGATTTACATCATCATGATTATGCTGTGCTTCAAAATGGGTGACATGGTATTTTCCATCTGATTGCCGAGTGATGATCATGTGTGCCAAACAGCCAGTTCTCGTTTCCCTTCGATGTTTCTTCACATTACAATCTCTCCTGTCTGTCCTACGATATCCCTCTTTGGAGCAGGTAAATTTTCTAGAAACCACCATACCATGTACCTTACTCCTATTTATCCAATCTTTTCTAACATTGAAACCCATCAATCTGGCATACTTGTTATAGCATCTATATGCATGCTCATCAGATTCAAATACTGTACCGATTCCCAATATTGTACTGCTGCAGAATGCATTTGCTGATGTGAGACCAGATTGAGAGCCATTAGCATGAGCAATGTTCGGGCTGCCACAGTTCTGTTCCACATTCAAGTCCAAATTATTTGAAGTTTCAGGTCCAACATCATCGTTTTCTTCACACACGTTACCTAACTCTTTATGATCAACATCCATGAAAAACCTTCACCCAATTGAAAGAAATAATCAAGATAAATTAATTCACTAAGTTAATAGAAAGAAAAAAAAAACAAAAGGATCACAATGGGAGAAAAAAAAACAAATAAGGCAATAACTTAGCACAAGCCAAATCCACAATGAATCTTTTCTTATGAAGCACCGACACTCCATACAAAACCCCAACACTGACCCAGCGACACAAGTAATAATTTGAAAAAATTGAATAAATTAAACAAAATTAAGGGCCGGTGCAGATGTCTGACACGGGACACGCCTTTTTTCTAGAGGTGTTGGTACTACATGAACCCAGATAGCTACATTTTGCATGGACAATAATATGCTAAAAAACCACACAAAAATCCAAAATTTTTTTTCTAATCGCACTCATTTTGATTCAACCTAACAAGCCTTACCAATATTAACTGAGACAAAGGGAACTATGAAATTGATCACTGACTGGAAATTATGGTCAGAATTTGAGAACGTGATGCAATGAAAGGAACAAAACATCATGCAGTGGACGCACGACACTATCCATTGTCTCTGGGTTTGGTGCGTTATAGGTGAAATGAAACAATTGATGAACCCCGATGTTGTAGTGTGTCGTTCTTTGAACTTGAATTGTGGTAACGAAATTGCATTATTTGAAGCCCTCTTATTCGATTCAAGAAAGCTGATCAGTGAGAATTAACGAGGGGTGTTGCAATTCTGCAAACCCTAACGTTGTTTAGAAGAAGATATTCTGTGTTTCTTAGAAGGTGTTAAAACGCAGAGTTTCAATGTTATTAGATTTGTTTTAACTCTTCATTAAATTTTGACTAATATTTATTTTTTTTATCGAATATCTAAGTGGATGAAATCTATAATATAAGAAAAGTAATTTTATTCAAAAAAATCTATTTTGTCCTTATGTTTCAATTGTAAGTTATGTGAATAGTCTCTTTGATTTTTACATTTTTCTTTCTACACAAAATCGATTAAATTCTACTGTTGTATCCCAAAAATTGTTCTCTCTTTTCTCAAGATATTTCTCACAAAGATTTTCAAAAGCTCAAATTTGCACAAGTATTGACTATTTCAAGCCACCTCTTCAGCACTAATACCTCTGAATTACGATTTGAGTTTGCACAAGTACAATTGGATTTTTAATGTCTCATATAGTTCCCATGGATCATATTGAGCTCTCAAGCATCAGGTCAAAGATGGAACTTCTGAATCCTCGAAAGGAGGAAGAGGAAATTGTTGAAAGGGCAAAGCAGATAAGAAAAGGTGTGCATTTACAGATAACCATGTCGAATTCAAAATCAGGTTCAGGTTGTTCGAACCACATGACTGATCGAAAGGAGTGGTTGGTAGATTTTGACAAGTCGAAGAAGAGCAAGTTTGCTTTGATCCTCAAGCTTCGACTGGGCAATGGCTTCTTCGAGCAACCTACTTTGATCCACCTCTAAACCCTTCGACACACATAATTTCGACACTATGAATTACAATTTAACACACCACCTAATTCATTGTGTCTAAACAATCTATATTCATCATGGTTCTTAGTCTTCTGAATACTTCGACTTGCACTCCCTTCGTCACGATGTCTGCAATCTGACTCTCAGTTCTACAGTGTTTCAAATTCATCTTCTCATCTGCTACCTGCTCTTGGAGATAATGGAACCTCATTTCGATGTGCTTGCTTCGACCATGTACTATTGGGTTCTTCGCCAGATTGATAGTTGACATGTTATTTATCTTCATGCTTGCTTCGATCTACAAGCTTCGACTGGGCAATGATTTTCTTCGAGCAACTTGCTTCGATCCACCTCTAAACCCTTTGAGACACATAGTTTTGACACTATGAATTATAATTTAACAAAAAAACTTGCTGATAATAGTTCATTGCAAGAAGAAGGTACTGGCAACATAGTCTTTCAAATGAGTAATGGAGGAAAAGTTATGATTAAAGATGTGCTCTATGTACTTGGAATAAAGTTCAACTTGCTAAGTGTTAGACAACTAGTCAAAAAAGCTCCTCAGTTGTCATGAAAGATGGAGTTTTGAGATTGTTCGACACCAAGAAAATTTTGGTCTTAAAATCTTCGTTGTCGAAAAATAGGACATTTGAGATAACGATCAATTCGACAAAGTTCAATGTTTAAAAAACTGTTCGACCACAAGGATAGTTGGTTGTGGCATTTGAGGTTTGAACATTTGAACTTTCGACCACTTAATCAACTGATTACTCAAGATATGGTTACTGGTAGGAAAGCAATCTAGAAATTCTTTCGTTTCGACTATGTCAATGAGATCATCTTGCATACTCAAAGTGGTACATTCAGATAAATATGGTCCATTCGAAGAACACACAATTGGTGGAAACAAATATAGTTTTTTCTGTTGATGAATTTGGTCGAAGGTTATGGATCTATGTGATCAAAACGAAAGGACGAAGTAAATGGTACATTCAGATGATGTGGTCCATTCGAAGAACATACAATTGGTGGAAACAAATATTGTTTTGTCTGTTGATAAGTTTGGTCGAAGGTTGTGGATCTATGTGATCAAAACGAAAGGACGAAGTATTCGACATCTTAAGAGATTCAAGATGCTTGTCGAAAACCAGAGTAAGGAAAAGATCAAAGTTCTACAGAGATTAAAGATCTTTGTAGAAGGAATCAAGTTGAAGGCGTGATTTTGGAGAACATTGATCAAAACCAAACTAGTGTCATGCTACAAACAATGTTGTCCAGACTATCGCTGAACAAAGTCTTATATGCTGCCAAGCCCAAGCTTGTTGTAGTATCCACATAACAGCCTAAAACCATGTCAAAAAACAGTTTGTTGTACTGCTACGAAACAACCCTGCACCAAGCTGCCACAACACTCCAAAACTGCTGCAAAACAGTCCTATTATGCTGCTCCTAAACCAGTCCAAGCCTGCATTATCTCAGTCACATATTTGCACCAAATTAGAATATATGAGTTGCACCTCAAAATCTATGAAAAGAGCATACCCAAACAGTTCAAATTTTATTTCCCCCCCCCCCCCCCCCCAAAAAAAAAAAAAGAAACCCAGCAAGATCTTCTACAAATAAGTTGTTTCACAACATACAAAGGGGGCTTTTGGAAGAGAAGAAAAAAAAAAGAGGGGAGAGAACACGAATACTGAAGCCTTAAAATACTCTTAAAACCAGAACCAAAAACAATACCTCTGTTTTTTTTCAAACTCAAGAACAATCAAGGCAGCAACCCAAGTTCGAAACACAAATTTCAGCTTCAAGGTAAGTCTTCTTGACTTTAAATCCTTCATTTCAATCATCATTGATGATTCATCTTCGAAGATAACATGTAATAACCATTGCCTTCGAAACTAACTTTTTGTTTGTCTTCCTTTCTTGTCAGTTATATGTTAATAACTAACTTGTACAGACCATAAAACAATGTTGGAGTGAAAAAATTACAGCATGATTCGACACAAAGCCTTAGGCTTCGACACATACTAATTTACAGGACCAAACAGAAGGGAAAAAGGGTGTGTGATTTGACACATAACTTTATGCTTCGACTCATACTGAGTTGATTTGTAATTACAGTGTCGAAAGAAGGATATGTGCTGATGCATATAAGCATGCTTCGACACATGATGCGACACATGATGTCAAAAGATTGTTTTTTTCTCTCTTTTGTGCTATTTTTTACATATTGCATACATTTCCTTCATAGATATTCAATATGGTTTGTAATAGATAATTAGATTTAATTTCTTGCAATCCCCATTTGTACATTTGTATCCCCCATCCCCCAAATGATGTAATAGTGTGGAACGTTTATTTTCCGCAATTTTATCGCTTTCATAAATGTTAGTAATTATGGTGTGTATGACAAGATAAAAAATCAACCTTAGAAAATCCTAATCCAAGACAAGACAATGCATGAAAAATAAACACTTGCACACTTACACCTCTAGGGTTAACTCCACTTGTTGCCTTGAGAAAAATAGTCATGATGTGCATGTGAGCCATCTTAGCAAAAACAATCAAAATACAAGATCATAGTCCCTCGATGACGCTACGAATGTTTCCTTACAAATGATCTTAGTCCCTTAAGAGAAATGCTAAGATATCTCATAATATTGCCATTCATGACTATACGATGACCCACGTTTGTCCCTTCACATCCAATGATGGGGATTCTTACCAAATCAATGGTAAGATAGCAACATCTAAAGGAGAAGGAAAAGAACAAAGACCTTTTGAGTAGGTAGGACGCTCGAAGTTGTTTGCTCACAAATTAAAACTATTTCCACACTTACACTTTCAAAACATCTTCAAAAACAAACATCTCTTTGAACTACTTTCAAAACCAACACTTTGTATACATTCTTATATAGACGAGAATCATTACAAAGTTTTCCGAAACAAATGCATTTTCAAAATATTTTCAAACTTACACCCATCACAAAACACATTTTCAAATAAAGAATTTTCAAGTGATCTAGCAAGCAACTAAGAGCCCGTAGATAACTACGGATGAAAAGGGTGCGAACACATTCCCTTTTCATAACCTACCTCCCAAACTCAAGAAAATATCTCAAAGGTCTTTCCTGTTCTTTTCACCCTTTCCTTATTGGATAAAAGAAAAGTAGGTGGTGACTCTTGCTATCCACAACAATTGCGATAAAATGCAAAACACCCAAGTCAGTTCTCCCACCGTATCATAGAACTAGAGACTCTGCTGGGGAATATTGACTAGAAAGTGGAGTTACCTTAGAGTTAAATCATATTTATTTGATTTCATTGTTTGATTTGTTTGCTTTACATTTATGGGTCCTTGTTTGGATTTGTTTTGATCATCTATCTGGATCGGGGAACATTATTAGGTAAGTAGCAATAGATTGTGGAAACTGTACGACATAAACCGATATGGTTGAAACAATGACTACGTTAGTGTGATGCATTTGTTGGTATCGGTATCCCTTGTGTTGAATCGAGGAGAATACGGGGCCGCTGAGCGGTGTCATGAAGCACTAACTGACCTTAGAACCTTTAATTGAATAACTTGGCCATTAGGAAGTAGTGAGATAGCCGACTTTGGTGCAAAGCCGAATATTGGTTGATACTCGATATTACACTCATTGAGATCTGACTTTTGGAATATTTCTACCGTAAGAAAAGATTGGTATGTGCTAAGACAATGCCCAATGAAGAAAGATCAATGATATTGAGATTCCCTAGAACCTGTTTACTTTCTAGGACAAGTTGAACCAACTAAACTTCAAGAGGGTACTTACCTATAAAATCCATGCGAGCCTAAACCTAAGGACTTGTTTTGCTTTGTTTGTATATGTTTACTTGTATATAACATCATAAACATCATAACATCATAAGCATTCTCACTAACCATTTCAAGAACTTAGGGATTCATCTTTGTTCTGTTTTGTAGGCCATGATTCCCATTCATAGGAATACCATCTGAGTCAACTTCGTGAAAGTGCATCCTCAACTTCAAGAATTAGCATCAAGGGTGCCTGGAGATTCTTCCTTCACCAAGAAATATAGTCGACTTCTCAACTTGTCTACCTCAAACTTCCAAGAAGAAATGATGTGTGTGCTCTTACAATTCTTTGATCCCATGCATCATTACTTCACCTTTCCTGACTACCAATTGGTGCCTACATTAGAAGAATTCTCTCAACTGTTAGGA